CATGACTCAAGTTCAATTACTGCGTCTACTGATAGCAAGAACGCACGAACAAACCTTTGCCCTGAAGCCAGCCATCTCACAGTTGTTACGGAATTTCCTTTACGATAAGGAAAAACTTTACTGATACTATTTAAAGAGAGACACGAAAAGAGAGGTTTATTGGGGGCAACAACAACAATTTATCGTTTCGTTTTAACATTCTACTTTCGAACACCTGGACAATTCATTAGCGAAGTTAAAGATCTTTGTTTTCTCTCGTTTCAATCTATGTTTTGGTTTTCATTCTCACTTGCGATAAATTGGCGGACCACTTATAAAAACAACCATATTTCCACGCCGTGCAAAACATTTTAAACCCTATCATAGTGCTTAGAGTACAGAGATCAAACCATCAGTTTACAAATTAGCGTACTACGTATTTTGCGAAAGCATGTTTCGGCAGGTTTCCGCAAACGTATTCTGTTCGTGGCCATTGACCGCAAGTTTAACATATCAGAACTTAATTAAATAGCCTCTCAAATTATCTTCAATTCGGAGACAGGCTGTCTGTGATTAAATTCATCAGGATAATAACTTGGGAGGAGGACGGATAATCTACGATGAAAAGAAGAGTAAACAGTAACCAAGCGCGGCACAAAAGGAAGCCCTTTGTGAGCCTGACTAACCCCACCACCACCTATCATGGCGCACAACTTTACAATCACTGATACACTTCTCATTAACACGAAAAGAGCAGTTCAAGTAAGAAACACCAAACAAGACGTTCGTCGGTTTCAAACCTTTTCTGTGCATGGTGTGTCAACGCACCATTAGATAACAATATTTTATCTAACTGTTCGTTTCCTTTGCGCAAGGATTGTTATGCTTCTTCGAAGCCGACCTTTAATATTTTTAGCGGTTGTAAAATTTTTTTTGCTCTAATAGAAGCCTAAGTACAAGCTTTTTACCTTTGATTCAATATCACCAAGAAGTAATCATGTTCAGGAAGACTTTGGGTAAAGTGACTGAAAAGTGGTGTTAAAAACAGAGGGCGCGAAGTACTGTCGAGAGGAAGATACTCCAAAACGGCCAACTGCAATTAATCAGTTTATACATAAAGCGCTAAAAGGCTTACTTTAATACTCTCAAAAGCTTACGATCGTCAGATGAACCGTAAACTAAACACAAAATCGACCTTTCTCGCGGGAGAACTCAAAGCAAGAATCCTAACAGACCGAATGGATGACTGACAGTGATGGATTGCTTTTCTTGTGGCGATAATTTTTATACCGCTTCTCGTGTTTCCAAGCTTTATCTTTGTCCATCTTCCAAAGATAGCACAGCTGAAACGAAACACACTGAGGTATTCCTAGATACCTGACTGACACATCAGGCATGTACAATTTATGACCAGTTGTTTTGCACCACTCGAAGAACCCTTAAACTCTTTGATATTGAAGACCCAATGGCCAGTAAAGGGTGTTTTAATCCAAACAACCATTTAAACAAGCACTTAATTGCGATATTTCAGCTTTTCAGGTAAACAGATTTTCATAGGATGTGCATTCGATTGCCCGTACAGCATCTGCTTTGGTTGACTGTAATTGGTTGATAAGGTGTGATGTACGATTATCGATGCTATGCACCCCACATGAAAAGCCATTAAACAAACAAAAGAGATCAAACAATACAGTTTTCGCAATACAGACGATGGTGGAAGTTTATTCTCCATTCGCAAGGCCTTATCATTTAATAACGCAAAACTCGAATCAAGAGTAATAAGCTCTGCCTGGAATGGAAAATGAGACTTATGATTTAGCTTCTAAACCGAACAAAGGCAAAAGGCAAAGTCCCCATTTCCATACAAGGAATAGTTAGTTTACAATATTCCTTAATAGCGCGTTTTTCTTGTTTAAACTTGCCTGAGAAACGTTACACTATACAAAGCGTTGTAACTTGTGTGAGGTATCTTTCAACCTTCTCTTGCTGACGGAATCTAAAAATATACAGTTATGTGTTTGTTTAACTAACTGCTCACCAAAAGGATCGCTCCACTCGCTTCTCTAATTTTGCCAGACTTAAGAATTTGAAACAATTCTGAAACAAATGTACGCTTCCAACCCTAAAGCAATCATGCATCATAAATCTAACTGAGCATGGAAGAAAGTGGTGAAACGCGCGGCAAAGTTTCTCAGATTGGGAGTGTAATATATTTTACCTGGATCAATAAAAGACCTTGTACATAGACACGACTACCAATAGCTGAACGAAATTCGTAAAATATCGCACTTTTCGAAGAGCCGTTGTCGCCTGCAATCCGCTTAATGACACTAATTAAGATAAATTGTTACCGGATTCAGTTAAACACCAAAAACAAAGGCGCAAGTCTCACTGTATGGCGCCGATCGAATTATCTCGAAATCAGAGCATACAGCTATCGATCCTGTGACGAGATAACCAAACTTAGCACGGCTTATGTTCGATAATCAACCCTCGAAAAACATTAGTTAACACAGAACAGATGCAAACGCCGGGCGCGCGTGCTTATAGTGTCTGCTAAGAGGGGTTTAAATACCACTCCACGCGAGGAGTCGCCGCACAAACCACCAACGGACGAATACCTGAACAATGTAACAGCTTTAGAAAGGTACTTTATTTTAAATCCGCTTTACACAGAACACGAATTTAATCGATTGTCTAATTGATCAGGCTTCTGACTGTTTATAAACACTAATTGATTCCTATGTGGGTGGTGCTATCTATCAAGCTGTAGCCATTGCTGGTCGATTTGTTGAAGCGAGATTAGAAAGGAATTATTTACATTCTCCAAGGTTTGAAATAAGAGATGGACATCTCTGAGACTTGCTGAAAGCCCGTCTATTGAAAGAACTCGCGAAACAAACTGCACACGCTCGAAACTTTGCGGTCAGAGCGCAGAAGATGGAGCCACTCAACAGAGATGGCTTAGAGCTGTCCACGAACAAACAGAGAAACGACCCGTGTTTATCGTCCAAAGCGGAACGTTTGAAGCCTCCACACTCCTATATTGCACTCATCGCAACTGCGATTTTAAACTCGCCGGGGAAGAAGTTGACGCTGACAGAAATAAACGAATACTTAGTCCACCATTACGCTTTCTTTAGAGGTCCTTACCAAGGTTGGAAAAACTCCGTGCGCCACAACCTGTCATTTAACAAGTGCTTCGTTAAGATCCTGCGTGATCCAGCGCGGCCGTGGGGCAAGGACAATTACTGGACGGTAAGCTCACTGCATGATTACCTGCTGGCGGATGGGACATTCAGAAGAAGGCGGAGAAGAAAACCAAAGAAAAAGGAAGACAGACAAGATTTCGGACATGGCCTTACCACTGAGCAGATCCTACCGAACAACACCGTGAGGGAGTTTAGTATTCAAGACGTAGCGCGCAGAAACATTTTAATGCTCCCCTCTTACGAGCCTGTCCGTGTGAATCGGGTACGATCCACTAATGTTCCTACAGTCAGCAAGTCTACAACGCCCAAGCCTTTCCATGGATCGTTCTCTATCGAAAGCATTCTAGCTGATGGGAAGACAAGCGCAAAAGAGGCTTCACTTAAGTCAAGGAGAGGAAGTCAGAAATTTCCTCATAGAAGTGTGATTAATCCAAACATTGGTAAGTTTAATAGCGAGTTTGAGTTTCCGGTGTGTAATGTAAATTCATAGAGTAATACTTGGTCTTTGATTACGTGCATATAAACATATATTGAGCTGAACTTGAGTAACTTTGACAGAGAGTTTCAGGTCCAGAGCCAATCGTTCACCAGTTAGAAACGATGTGCAATAAGTGACTGAGTAAACAGTCTTCACATTAGCCTTAAATAAATAACGACGCTTTACTGTAAACTTACTGAAATCACTGAGTAAATGGCTTCATTAATGTCACATTGCTTTCGAAATTGCAAGGTAAGGTTACTTGTTTTAAACGGGTCCACTCGAAGCGGGGTTAATCGAAAGTCTCGTTATAGAAGTTCGAACCATATTATTGCGATATTTCATTGAAAAACTCAACACGAATTTAGTTAAAAAAGACACTTGACCTTATTGAATATATGCTTCTCCGTCGAGTGGTTAGGGTTGCTCGAGTACATGGACCTAAACTTTCATTTTGTCACACTTTGCCCTCAATCTAAAAAACTCTTGATAGACAGTCCGCTAAATGTTCAAATTTTAAACAACGGTTACGAGTCTAACGGGGTGAGCCATATCATTAGCCAACGCGCTAAACGCCTTTGTGTATTGAGACACTTGCACAAACCCGCAACACACGCCTTACTGAAAGATGACCGAGAACTCTTGCCAAGAATGTATGCCGGGGCGGTTTTGTGAGGGCAGCCGACTTCGCACAAACTTGGCAATACTTTCATCATCATCGAAAAGTTTTAGTCACTGAAATTAATCTCTTTTTGAATCAATGAAAGTTAAAGCTGAGAGAAAGCCCGTGTGGACATTTCCTTTTTTATTGGTTGTATCTGACCAAGAAGTAAACGTAGAAGTATAAACTACGAGCAGTGAACAGTAAACACGATGACGAAATACATCTGCACAAGAATTTTTCTTTTGCAGTTGAATCTGCTTAAGATAAAAAAAACAAATATCATTAGTTTTGTTTTTTTTCAATTTGTTTTCATCCTTGATATGTTTGTTAGAAAAATATGATAGGATTTTAACAGGGGTTATTAGAGTAGGAAATGGATAGCCGCGAAGGCTACACTTCAACCAGATGTGAATAACTGATGAAATTCAACTTTGCTTCATGTAATTTTAGTTGCGCAAACATTAGCTCATAGCTAACCCCTTAGGTGGACGGTGACGCATTTGGTAACAGGCTGGGTGAAAAGTTTATTCTTTACAATACATTCTAAACATTTAAACATAAAGTAAACTTCAGTTCTCTTGAATTGTTGACTGAATGAACACAGCAGGCAGTTGAGTAATGCATCCGTTATGAGACTTAATTGTCAAGGGCACATTTGTGCAATTAAGACAAATCACCAGTTCTTGTTGTTCTAGGCAGAGCCGCAATCAAGCCTACTTCGCAAGACATGATGATTGCAAGTTTTCAATTATGTTTTGATGCCCCAGTTTAAGTTTCTTCCCATGACAAAAATTTCAGCATATGAAGCATCGCTAGTCGACAAAGATTTGTTTTAAGGTTAAGAAGCTAAACTGACGAATAAAATTTCATTCAGTAAAATTTTCCTCGCTTTACGTTCAGTTTGTTTCGTGAACTCTACTTAGTCATTTTATTGATTTGGGTGGGCGTTTTTCGACTCCTGATTCGCCCTCGATTCACAAGCTTCCTAAATTGTTTTATATCATCAGCACTTCAATTATTTATGTAGATTTGTGAGGAAGGGCCACTTGATCCTTTAAAAATTTACTCAAGTTCACTGAATTCAAGTTTCATGCCTTTTTACCGTCCTATTCAAAAACTAAACAGAGCTATGTCAATTTGCAGAAATTCGAAGGTATTCTCTAACGATTGTTTCAAGAGAGAGACGGCAGGACACTGGTCTTTAAATTTGAGCTATTGTGTGGTAATGAATGTGATACACCATTTGAGAAAAGGCGACCCAGCCAAACTCGTTACCAAAAATTTAGTTTGAAGAAAACATCCACGTCAAACTATGATAAATCACTAACAAATTATCATTCAGTTGAAACACGCAATGCCGACAATGATCCATTCCGTTCAAAGTTGTCAGCTTAATCCCACACTGAAGAGGGGCAATTTTTCTTCTTTAAGTGTTGTATGAATCAAGACGAGTAACTGGTGACAAGTTAAACTCCCAAGATGACGCGAAGCTTAATGCAAGCGAAAGGGGATTATCCATGATTGATAATATAATCCACATCGTTGTGTAAATTACTCGACAAAAATTTATCAGACTTTCCCTCCTAGTGGCCAAAGGGGGTGAAGAATGCCTGCGACCAAAACCTTCATTTGTGACGACCAGAATTACATTTCTCTCGGTAAAAGCGATGACGGTCTGCTAAGATGAATACCTCTCACCGTCTTACAACATTTTCGCAAAAGGGCGATAACACGATCTGTCAGTCTCTTTCTGGAGGTGAAGAAAGGGAAACTTGTACTACAGTGATGAAATTTAACAAACCTATGCCTCAAAGTAACATTTATTCCAATCAGTGTCTTTGCGCAGTGTAGTTCGATCTTGTAACTGGACTTTTGCCTCGAGGTGCTATTTCATTAAGTTCTTCAGGCACAACAGAGCTAAACCAAATAAATTCTAATTTGTTATTTTGTTTTATCTAGGTCCCCTGGTAGCGCAGAGAAACATTGGCCACTGCTATCACCCAGCACCGGAGACCCCCCACCATTTTCAGAGACAGGAACACTTATGCGCACCCATGGTTCCTAACGCAGCCTTCCCGAGCAGCTGTGAAGTGTGGAACACTTGCCACTGTTTCCATTCGTGTGCAACCGCTACCACGCATTTTCACGCTTGTTACGGATGGAAAAAGGAACATATCTAAGCGTGATTACAGTTCACTATAATGAGCGGTTGATCAATTGAGTTACAGATCTGATTTTATGAGGTCAACTGAAAGAATTTGCCATCTTTGTTTAGATGAATTTTGGAATAATTTATTAGACTGATTTTTGCAAACAAATTGCTTAAGGTATTTTTTCATGTAGCAGTGAAGTGTATAGGACGACCATGCATGCGCAGGTAAAGAAATTAGCTGTACCTATGTAGTTTTCCAATTCTCGACATTATTTTTGTAATTGCTTGGTAGGAAGTGTGTCTTAAACTACCGACTTCTCCAGCAAAGAGAGGCAATTTCACCAACTATGAGAGACAAATAGAAACGATTTTTCATGACAAAAGAACGGTATAATTGTAAACTGAGGCATACCACACCAAAATTTAAATTTGCAGTTCACTGTTCAATTTGAAATTCTTCCTAAAGCATAGTATACTTGTACATATTAACCATTATGAATAAAGTATTTTTCAGTTTATCTGATTTGTTTTTAAGTACAAGCTTATTTTTCTCATTTGTATCCAAGTTCTGCTAAGAAGACAGTTTCATGCAAAATGTGGGGCAACTTGACTGTGTCAGCAAACAGGCAAAGTGGGAAGTATCCGCTCAAATTAAACTCCCGTTCGAAGGCTACGCCCTCTAAAAGTTCTAACCGCACAATCAAAGGTTCAGAATGTACTGGTCATTTTCAGTAACATAAAATTTTTATTTAGGATATTTGACCATGTCATAGAAGGCTGAGGTGTACATACCAGAACTCCCAAATTACGTCAGGTTGTCTAAGAAATGTTGACGAGGCGAGACTACCTTCTTATCAATTACATACCTTACATTTTAGAAAGAAAACACTTTCATGTGTTGCACGTAACAATTCTAACTGTTGAATAAAGACTATCTTGATCTCTAGACATATGTGGAAATACCTAAAATATCTGGCCTACACGCAGTTTTCCGCATTAAAGTCTGAGTGTGCTACTGGAAACACAATCCTAGTGGCTGAGACATTCGGCTGTTTAATACGTGTTAGTAAAATTAAGGGATTGTATTTTGAGCCTTCTAGATTCATTTTATATTTTCATTCCTGAATTCCCTTAAGAAGAGATGAACAATTAAATTTAGAGGATACCAATTTAGTTTGAAGGAGTATTTAATGGGGCAGCACCATATCATTGCTTTGCGTAAGATATAACATACAACGTCTCCTTGCAGTCAAACAAGACAAACAGGTTACTGAGAATTAAACACACCTATATGCCAAAGAATGTTGTCTCGATGCAACAATAAACTTCCTCAAATAATTTTAATGAAATTACTTGGCAGTTATAGGGGCAAATTTTTTATCAGTTCTCGAGAGCAAGAGTTTGATGTGATAATGTCATTTTTCAATGTCACGTATTCAGCTGTATCTCTGATGCTCGAAAAGTGACCACTAAAATTTTTTCTGTCTTTCTTTGTCCACTATATTGTCAAGTGAAAGGAGAATATCAACTATCACTTACTATGCCGTCAACTGCTTGGTTGGGCAAGGGATTAGAGCTTAGTAGCCAAATGGATGTTCGAATTCGCAACCAGCAGATGTCATAACTGGTTTGAAACAAGTTTCTCTTGCAAGAATGTCAGCCATTTCTCCATGCGCCCTGAACCAAAACCCCATATGTCACCTGTACTTTTATAAGCACACCTACATCATTAAATGCATTTTCACCTTTGTTTGTTTTTGAACACTATAAAACGTGTCAATTCAATCCATAGCATAAAATCCTGCAGTTGTCCAAAACAAACAACAACAGAAACCGATGATTCATTCCCAGTGCCATGTAGATGATTGCATGTGTGTATCTCGAACCTTTTCTTTGCTTAATGCAGTGAAAACGCTCTCAAGTCACCCTCAGCAATCAGGAAATCTTCAGTTTAATTTAAGCCAAACGATTACATTTATCTCCTCTCGGAAGAATTAGGGCCGCGTCATTTTTGCCGAGACGTTTCAGAGTTCTCGTCCTTAAGAGGATTAACATCAATATATTTATCTTCACCAAAAGAGGATTTTAAGAATACCCCTGAATAGACAAACAACATAAAACCAGTGAAGTATTGCAGATATTGTGTGCATCACAACCAAATAATTTAGGGACAAAGAATTTCACTCAGGAATAAAAAATTAATGACTACAAAAATATCAAGAGACTTGAGGAAATCTTCCCGCAGCACAAGATAGAAAGGCATCAAAACCTTATGCAATATGAGGTCTAACCAAGCGACATTTTTTCGCCTGTTCATGACAAAAACGGCCACAACGGTCAAGTACCCTAAGCAATATCTTGTATACAGGTACTACGGCGATGAAAAGAGCCAATGTATATGTTTGTGTTAGTTTCACCACATGTATGCTTGTTTCTTTATTAATAATTAAATTTTGGTCGAAACGAATGATAGTGTACGTGTTACATTCTTCACTGTCCCGCAGAATTTGAAAAAAAGGGGTGGATTCTTTCTGTGTTTGACCAAAATACTGATCCAGTTTATTTAAAGAAGATAAGGTCGTAGTACGTTCATTAAGGCTCGGGACGATGTTCACAAGTAGAAAGCAAAAAGGACTCTGGCTTTATTAGCAGATGTGCGAAAGTGTTAGACTGTTTTTTTTATGTCAAGCCTGAAGATAAACTGAGCGAAAGTTATTGCCATATTATACCCGTGAAACTAAAGGGGCAAATTAATCTGATAGTTCAAAACAAAACCATATAAATGGAGGAAATCCTTGAAGACTGGCAACATTGTATGTTATTGTGCAAGTTATCACTCGAGAATTACTTGTTATTCCTCTGTTTCTCGTCATCAAATCAAGTATGCAAGTCTTCAAGATGAAGGATTGGATGATCTCTGAAAATAGGTCTTGACGTACAAGATCAAAATTTCACCGGTACGATGTGAGAACAGGATGATAACAATAACAAATGCACTTTATTCGTTAGTTTATGCTGCATCTTCAGATGAAACCTCCAGTTAAGGTTAGTTTGGTTTTCACTTGATCTTCTTTGGTTTTCTTTGAGAAAATTGATCATTTTTTAAACAGAGAACACGAGTGACTCGACTTTGTCTGGGATGGGACAGTTTCAGGATAGGAGATGGAATGCATGTCATCATTCCCTGTCAGCAGGGATTATTCTCAATTCTTCTTTATCTTTCGTATCCACGCTTTACTGTCATGCAAAATTGTGTGTGGTCTTTGTACTAAAACCAAGCTTCAAACCCCAGTTTTCTCACCGGAAGACACAACGAATTCCATCTGGAAAGTGATAGAAGGTAAATGTGCCTCGATGCAGGGCGAGAAGATGTTCGTTTAAACATATGGCACGAAAGTTGTTTAAACCCATAGATAACATCTCTTCAAGAGTCCTTATATCAAGGCACCATTAGGTCTCGTTCCTTGAAGAACGCTCCATATTAATGAGCTATCACGCAAATTAATTTTCTGACAGCACAAGGTCAAAAGCTCGGGGCAGCGGTGTTGTTTGATGCTATTCTGCGGTGGATGCAAGTGATAAATAGTTTGATAAGATGATAATTGATATTTTAAAGATATTTTAAGACAAACGTTGCGTTCAGGAATCGTATGGTTTTAATGACTGGAGAATATACGGAGTAGTTTGGTTCATTACTCCTGGTTCGAAATAAGTTAGTGCATCGATGTTCGTGACTTTGTCTTCATCGATATATGTATCAGTTATTTACCTTGGTTTGAAGGTAAGCACATCCCTGGATAAACCCTTGAGTATGGACTGCTGGAAAACTGGACCTGGGAACGATAAGCAACTGTTCCAAGTATAATGTTACTTTACGTTTATGGTTGGCCTTGCGTCACGTTTGTATATTCGCATAATCCTTGATTTTAACGAAAGAAGTAGGAACAAAGCTATCATCAGATGTGTAAGAGTCCTTAAAAAACCGATATTTATTCAAGTTGTGATGACAGAGAATTAGAAACTGGTTGGCGGTACTTAACTACAGATTTGCACGGATTTACGTTTGTCATCTCTTGAGATTAATACCTGGATTTCTTCAGAAAAAAGCACCTTTATTAAGAATTTTGAGGTGAAAGTAGCACTGTCTACTTGCCATTCAGTAGAGCTTGAGAAAAAAAAGGAAAGTAGTTGTCTGGGTTAGTTATCAAGCTTTTGCATGAGAAATAAGTGTCAGGTCGAGAGACGGACGAATTTTCTTAACTCCATCAACATATCTTTGGCTTATCCAGTGTCTCATACTTGTTTACCTGCTTATCAAAGCACGCATATGTATGACCCGTAACATGATTCCACAGAAATCGTAATGAAAATAAATTTGATTGGCCTGATGTTTCGAAACCAATATCTCGATAGAACATACCAGCACTGGTTCAATTTTAAGGAACTAAATTAAAAAATTAATTTCTTTTCGATTTTTGGAGAAGTATTCAAAGGCAAGCGGATCTAAGAATTAAAGAATAAAACATAAATAATTGATCGGTAGTGGTGTGTTGTAGGTTATTACGGAGAAGGGAATCTGATGCATGTTTTATTCTCTTTCGATACGATTAATAGGTTCAAAGTCTGCTTCAGTTTTTCCGGTTTCGTGCACCACAACGAGAAGAATTAAAACATCTCTAGCTATACCAAACGATGTCGTATTCCTCTTTTTGTCGGATAGGAGAAGGAGGAGGTCCAAGCGAGGTATTGATTCTTTGCATTCAGCGGAAGACAACCTTTTCCGTACCTACTCTCAATGGAACGAATTGCTAATTTCCCTTTTGGTCGAAACAAAGCATGATTTTGCATTTCCTCGTTAAATGTTGTTCTCCATTATGATGTAGCTGAATGCCTCACACCCTAGTGCACCATTTTAATGGTTAGTCTATAACCAAAAAGAATCAGTCTGAAAAAGCTCGAGTTGCTGATAGTCAAGAGAATACAGTTTATATTCTTTTGTGATAATCTTATCTCGCGCTGGAAAACCAAAGTCTAAAGTCCTTATATTGTAAGTTACAACAGTTTATTCAATTTTACAGGTAGACTTTAGCATACCGGCGTAATATCTGATCAGCCCTGGTTAGAGGGTATATAGAAGATTTTGGTTTGGGTTGCGCCGTCAGGGCCTTCACGCTCCGACCCTTTTTGAACAAAACCTGTCCACTGCCCTGTTCGGGCAAAAGGTTGTTTATATTCCAGCACATCAATCTCCTGGAGATTCTAAGATATCGTCGCTTAAGTTCGCTCCTAGTCCAATGCTTTCAGTCCAGAAGGGTACGTTGCACCCTATTCAAGATATCATATAATGATATCATTTACCCCCGTTTATTACTGAAGAATACGATAACCATACCTTGCTGGGAAGCACAAACACTGTTCGGGGTTAGTAAGAGAATGTTCCCCCGGGAATGACAAAGAGACGTGCCTTTACATCACTACTTTAAG